ATAAAGCCAAATCTAATAACATATTGTCTGCAAAAGACATACCTAAACCCAAGAGATTCTGAAATGTGAGCAATAAAAAAGTGATGGGCAAATTTATATCTGGCAAATACAAAAAAAAAGAAAATAGGAGTTACAATCTTGATAACTTATCAAGCAACATTTGCATGAAAATTATTTTTAAAGTATATGTTATATAATAACATCTGATTTCCAATGAATATATAATAGTTGTCCACATTCTTAAAACTGACAGCAAAATGGCAATTTTCAAAAAAAAAAATTTCATGAGATGATAGAAAAAATAAGATCACACTAATAATAAGATATTTTAGCTCACTCTGTCACTTCAAGGCAGATCAAATGTATAAAACACTCTTAAATGTTTAAATATGACCTAATCAACGTGATGAATAAACTAGAATTCATTGATCTATTACTATTGAATCTGAGCCTTATAATAGACAATAGCTTAACTTTTCAAGTACTCATGAAACTCATTCATATTCTAGGCCACAAAGACACTTAGAATAAAATACAAACAGAATTTTCAGAGCATAAATCAAGATAGTTAAAATTTATTTAAAAACATAAAGCCTTCCCACCTGGAACTTTAAAATACCTACTTAATAACAAGGCTTTTGTGGTTGTACTCTTTGTCATAGCAAAAGATAAAACAAACTATGGACRTAGTGGCCAAACTATGTACATTCACTGGTAAAAAGGCATGAGGAATATTTACATACAATGTTTTAAAGTGATCTATAATAATTACTCCCAGATGGAAAAAAAAGATACTGTAAATAAACATGCATTCAATATGCACTGTTTGTAAAGAAAGGGCAGACAAATATACAGAACACACACACACACACACACACACACACATTTCTCTGTATTTTTTAATGGAAAGATAAATCCCAAAAGTGAATAAAAGTGATTACTTACCTTTGTCTGGGTTTGCCAACACTCCTGCTACAATAACCAGAAAACAAACCAGATCAATTATTATAAATACTATTTGAAAACATTAGAGAGCTATGGAAGCAAGAGGATTATATTAGTCAGAACTCCACCTGGAAGAAAATTCTTGAATTGAGCTGATGAAAAGAAATAAAGAATATCTAAATCAACAAAGAAGTGTTTCATGTTCATAGATTGGAAGATTCTTTTTTTTATTTATCAGTACTTTCTAATTGGATCTATAGATTAAATATGACCCCAGTTAAAATCCTAGGAAATTGCATTGTAAATATTGACAAACTGATACAAATGTAACAGGAAAAGGCAAAATATCTTGCAGAGCTAACATAATACTGAAGAAAAATAACAGATTTGGAGGACTCACATTACCTAAACTCAAGATTATTATAAAGCTATAGTAATCAATATAGCATAGAACATAGATCAATTGCATATAGATCAAGGAACAGAATAGAAAATCCAGGAAGAGAGCTCTGTACTAATGTAATCGACTGAAAAAGGAAAAAAGGCAATTCAGTGGAGAAAGGACAGTTTATTCAACAAATGATCTGGACAAGTGAACCTCCATATACCAAAGAGTGACCCTAGGCACAAACCTTAAAATTTTCACAAAAAAATAATTCAAAATGATCATACTAAATAGTTGTACAAATAGAAAAAAATGCAAAATTATGAAGTTTTTAGTATTATAGGAGAAAATCTAGTTGACCTTGGTTTGGGGATGATCCACAAAAGAAAAAATTTAAGTTGGATTTTATTAAAATTAAAAAGTTATTCTCTATGGAAGAGACTATCAATATAATGAAAAGATAAGCTGCAAATTGAGAGAAGATATCTGTAAACTACATGACTCATAAAAAACTGGCATGTTAACATTAAACAAATTTTCAGGCAGCACTAGGACTAAATGAAGGCTAAAAGGTTTAAAGTTCTTTATGTAATAGCTATATACGCTGGAAAAAAATCAATATTATTTATAGTATATTTTCAATTCAATGGAATTAAGCTGGAAAATATTAATAGAAAGATAATTACAAACACCACAACTATGTAGAAGTTTATATCCTTCTAAATAGTCTTTTGATTCAAGAATAATTGTTTTCAACTAAATTATAATAAAAATCAAAATGACTCACCAAAATTTGTGGGATAAAATAACAAGTCTGTATAACAGATCTTATAGCATTAAATGCATATATATTAGAAAAGAGAAAAAGACTGAAACCAATTATTTAAGATTCTGTTTTAAAAAGCAAGATCCCATCAAAGCAACCCCATGGAAAGGAAAAGGAAATAAATAATAAACATAAAAAACATAAAAAGGAAATAAATAATAAACATAAACATAAACTGAAACAAGCATACTATAGGAAATGAACAAACCTAATGTTATTTAAGATTAATAAATCTGGTTAAACCTTGCAAAGCTGATAGACATAAAAAGTGATGTGAATTACCAATATGCAGAATAAAAGAAAACATTATTGCACATTTTATAAAGATCTGGATATTCTGATATACATTGTTATTCTGATATACAAATATTGAGATATTCCTGTCTATATAAGTATTCTGATAAGCATGAAATTGAAAATTGAATCCATCTTTCCGTAAAGAAAACCCTGGCAACATCACCTATGACTTCTTCCAGAAACTGAAGGAACAAATGTCATAATCTTTCACAAAACTCTTCCACAAAACAGAAAAGAAAGGGAACAGATGGAACTCTTTTTATGAAATCGGCATAATATTGACTCTGAAACCTGACAAGAATCACATGATTGGGGAGAAGTAAAGACTCATCATTCTCACGAACATAGAAGGAGATGCTTTAATTCAGTGATAGCAAAACAAATTCAAAAATATATAAAAGGATAATATATTACTATCAGGTGGACTATTCTGGGTATGCACACTTGGGCTATCATTTTTAAAGGATTTTAAAGTATATAATACTTCAACAGTATTCAACATATTCAACAGAGAAAGGGGAAAAAATTGATCACCTTGATAGTTTCAGCAAAGATATTTGTCCAATCCAATGTTCATTAATGATAAAAGTCCTAATAAATTATGGGCTGGGGATGAGCTCAATGGTAGAGTGCTTGCCTCACATGTGTGAGGCACTAGATCTGATCCTCAGCACCACATAAAAATATATAAAGGCATGTGTGCATCTATAACTAAAAATGTTTTTTAAAGTCCCAATAAATTAAGATAAAGMATTTACTTAATCTGATAAAACGTCTACAATATCTGCATTTAGAATCATATTCCATAGCAAAATATTCCCGCAATTAGAAATAAGTGGTGTGTGCTTCACCACTTTTATTCAACATTATACTGGAGAAAGTATAATGAGGGAATAAAAAAAAACTTTTTAAAAATTGAAAGTAGGTGAAAGAAAAAAAAATTTTTATTTGCAGAGAATACTACGATGTTTACCCAGAAAACTCAAAAGAATTTAGAGAAAATCTATTAGAACTAACATGAGAATTTAGTAACATATTTGGAGATATGATGTATAAAATAAATTGTGTTTTTAATCCAACAACAAAAAAGTATAAAATTAAACTAAAAAGATGCAACTTGAAATAACATCAAATACCAAATACTTAAGAATTAATCTAAAAAATATGGAAAATGTCTACACTAAAACTAAGACCTTTACAGAAGAAATCAAATTAGGCATAAAAAAATAGAAAGCTAAATTATGTTCATTGTGGGAAAAGTCAGTTTATTTTTAATATTATTATTGAGGTGGGACTAAATTGACAGGCTGATTCTAAACTTCATCTAGAATGCAAAGAATTGAGAATAATCACAACCACCTTGAAGCAGAAAAATAAAGTTGGAAAATGATCATGCGATAGTACAAATTTATTTTTGGTCCTAAAATCATAAACTGAACAGTAGACTAGAGTGGAGATTCCAAAATCAAACTCACATATATTGATGGAAAAGTGAAACTGAAGTTTACTAGAGGAAATGATGTCTGTTTCAATAAAAAGCACTGCATCAATAGGATATCTATAGGCAAAAATTATTGACCTGGACCATGTCCTTTCACCAAACACCAACACACAAACACAAACTCCAGATGAATTTCAGATCTAAATGTGAAGTATAGAAATAGAAAGAGAGGAGAGAAGAAAGGAGGGGGGAGAGGGGACTGAAAAGTAGAGGAGAAGAGAGAAGATAAGATTAAATACTATGAAGGAAACATAATATATGTTTGAGATCTTGGGATAAGAAAAGTGATTTTTTCCCCTATAGATTCACAAACAATAAAAGAAAAAATGTGATAAGTCAATCTATATTGAAATTTAAGAACTTTTGTTAATCAAAGACAACTTTCAGAATAAGAGGGGCTATTCACAACACATACAACCAGCAAAGAACCTGTATCCAAAATATTTTTTAATTCTATAATAACAGAATACAGACATTTTCATTTCAATTACCAAATACTGCTATTTAGAAATACACTTGTCCTGTAAATGACTTATTTTAATTGAACCTCAGTTGCACAGAATTGCATCTCCTGGTCCAAAACACATCATCATCACTGACTGATGCACAACTATCTTTTATTTAGCTAGTTTTTAAAATTATTTCTTTCTATAATTTAAAATATATATTTTATAATTATAAAATACAATATTTATTTATTTCATTCTGTAAGACACCTATTACACCATCTGTGTAATGTACTCATACAACACCCTTTAATAACTTTGAATTCCACCAAATGTAACTATATTTTCTTCCCTCTTCCTACCCTCCTGATTCTTCTAACCCACTAATCATTATCATGAACACCATGTCCTCTTTCTACTTTCCTTTAATAAAAAGGGAAGATTTTTATTATATTGTTTCATTAATTAATATTTTAATATGTGCACCTAATTTTATTTTAATTAATTTTAACTTTATGTGAAGAGTGTCATGCTGAAAATATTTCAGAATTTACTTTTATCATTTTATAGTATATTCTTAAGATTCACTCAGACCTTTGTTGTCATTGCTGTTTGGACTGCTGTGAAATGTTCTATTCTGTGAATATGCCATATTTTGTGCATCCTCTTTCCTCTTTATTGACATTGGATTGGTTCCATACCGTTTTTATCATGAACGGTATGCTAAGAACATTCTTGTATGTGTCCCCTATTATGCATATATAAGAATTCCTCTTGAATATGTATCCAGAGGTTTAGTTGTGTACTCTAGTATATGTGAATACTCAACTGTATATTTGCTTTGAATCCAGTAATTATCTTTCTTCCTAGTTTTTCCAAAAGATCTAACTTATCATCTATGATCATTCTTAAGATGCATTTTATTTCACATTTAAATTCTCTGGAATGTTTTCACAATCAGTGTCTTATCATGGTTTCCTTATTTTTTTTCTTTCTAAATAATATATCAAAGAGTGATCTGCCTTAAATCATTGGTATCTTAAATTAGACAATACAATTTTCACAAAAACATTTCTCATACACATACTTCATCTACTGTCATACRGTCAGTTTACAAAACATTAAACTATTTAATAAAAATAACAAACGAGAGTGGCATCATCAAGTGTTGGGTGAAAGACAGTTGGCTCTTAGAAAGCACATAAAGAATTGGTGGCAGGAATGGAGACAGGTGCTGACGAGGAGCCATGCTGGCAGCACTCTCCTGTCCTGGCACCAGCCAGGAAGTGCTGTGGAGATGGGAGACAGTGTCCATCTGCAAGGGGTGTAAGTGGAGATTAGTGGAGAGTATCCACAACATCCCAAATTACTATGAACTGTGGAGTGCCGTGCATATACTTACTTGTATGACTCTTCATCCTCTTTCCTTAATGTAAAGCTGTGTGAACCATTTTTCCCCCACACATTAGCTTAAGAAATCACCATGCCAAGTGGGGTGGCAGGCAGGTCAGCATTGGGCTATTCTCCTCGCAAAGGGGTCTTCTGTTCTCTTTGCCCTATTTTCATTGAGGTTGGGCCATACACAGACCCAATCACCAAATCATTTCCTATTATTCAAGAAGTTTTCAAGGAAAGGACTATTACTGGATTTTAGCATGACCTCATTTTTCTTCTTTGAAAACACAATCTTCAGAGAAGCTTTAGGATGTGCATTCGTCCTAGGTTTTGGATCTGGAATATCTCCCCAAGGTCCCTGTATTAAAGTTTCAGTCCCCGTGTTGGTGCTTTCTGGGAGGTTGTGGAGCCTGAAAGAAGTGGGGCTTAGCGGGAGGTCTTCTGGTCACTGAGGTATGCATCTGAAAGGGATTGTGGACCCCTGCCCCTTCTTCTTTCTCTCTTTTGCTTTCCTGCCATCAGGTGAATGCTCCAGTGTGCTTTTGCACCATGATGTCCTACCACAAGACAAAAACAAGAGGGCCAACGATTATCAACTGAAATCTCCAAAACTGTGAGCCAAAATAAAACTTTCCTCTTTGTAAATTGATTATTTCGGGTATTTGCTGCAGTAACAGAAAGCTGACTAACACAATTGGGTTCCTATCCTTAAATATTACCAGCTTCAACGTGCTGGGGCAATGGGAATAAAAGTAGGTGGAGCTACACGGCTTTCCCTGTGGCTTCGAGCTTGTGGTTCTGGAATGAGTGTTTTGAAAATTTTAAATTGAGCATTTAAACTTGTTTTATAGTTTCCAAATCAGGAAGGCAGAATCCTGCTTGATGATGTGTGTCCAGGAATGAGAGACACACGTTCACATCCTGGCTGTATTGCTCCCATGTGCATCCTCGGTGACCCCTAATTTATGTGACCTCCAGGGTACTGAGCTAACCACAGTCATTCTGGCTAGGACCAGATTTCATTTTATATGGTGCCTGCATGTAGTAAGCACCAAATAAATGCCACTACACTGTCTTTCCTCCTCATCTAAAAACAACAGTGGGGTCAGGAGAAACACTGGCCTCTTCTCCTCCAAAAAGACATTTGCTATCATGTGATTAGTGGCAAAATAAGAAATTCGAGTATACATACCATCAACACTTTCCCTGCAGTTTTCAATTTCTCTTTTCTAGGAATAGAAGCAGAAAGAATAGGAAAAAAATGTCATTTGGCAGATAACCTTCCCTCCTCCCATTTTGTTTTATTATTATTTTTCCTTCAGGCATCACATCAAGAAAATGAAGCAAATTATTTTCTAAAACTTCTTAGCTAAAAAAAATTAAAACCAGATTTCTCTGTCTGTGGCCTCTGACTTCCTGGAGCAGATGCTTTGGCATTACTCCTTGCTTCCACACCAGGCTCAGTGCGTCCTCCTCCTTCCACTGATCACAGTGACATGCCAGCAACCCTCCAGCAGTTCCAGGAGTCGAGACAAAGGGGTGAGGCCAGAGCTCATGTGCAGACGCAGATTCACTGAGGCTGGAATAAAACATCACAATCACAGTGGTCCTTTTAAAAAATGTGTTCTGCAAATTACTTTAATTCAATGATAAAGTCTAATGAATTGTAATAGCACTTTGTAGTTTAAAAAATACTTAGGCATCTATTTGATTATTCAACCATCACAGTAAACATGTAAGGAAACATTTATTATCCTCACTTAACATGAGTAAAATGAGACTTTGAGAAGTTGAGTGATTTATCTAGAAATGCAGAGCCACCAAGATGCATTGCTAGGACATAAAGCAGCTGTTTTCCTATTTCTGGTCTTCCCAAAGCTCCGAAGGGATCTCAGCTACGTGACCCAACCCCAATTCCCCACTGTTGCTTTTTTTTTTAACATTGTAGGAGATACAAGAGTAAGTAAAAAAGAAAGAGAGAAAAGGAAGGAGCAAAGGAAAAAGGGAGGAGAGGGAAGAGAAAAAGAGAAGGAAAACAAAAGTAGCACATGGCATCTGGTGTCTCCACCAAAGAAGCATCTGCTGTTCCTCCAAACCACTAGAAAGGATCCAGCTCTTTATCATAAATCATATGGAAGACAGAGCCCAGATTTGACATAGCAAACCACACAGAATATTTAATAAAACTTTTTTTTTTAGATTTTTTTTTTCTCCCCAGTGTTTTGCACTCAGGCAACCTCTCACACCTCTTCTATGTCTTCCTGCTGTCCTGTGACTGCCTCTGCACTGTCCTCTGGCAGACATATCCTAGGCTTTCTACCGGCAATCCTCCAGCCAGCTCAGCCATTTGGAATTGGAGTGAACAAATCCTCCAGCATCTTTCTAGGAAGGCTGACTGAACCCTTAAAGAGGAGGAGACAGCGGGTTGGGGTTGTGGCTTAATTCTATCATGTGATTAGTGGTGAAATAAGAAATTCTGATTTTGCCTAGCATGTGTGATGCACCGGGTTTGATTCTCAGTGTTGCATATAAACGAATAAAATAAAGGTCTATCAACTAAAAGAATATATTTAAGAGAAAAGCTAAAAAAACATGGAGGGGACAAACAAGAGGAGCTTCCTAAAAGAGAAAGTACATTTGGCTTTAGAAAACAAAATGAATTGCAAGAATAACACTAGAAAGGAGGATAAGGCACTGCAAAAAAACATGGGGCTACCAGAAGGACTTTGAGTACCTGAGTTCAGAGAGCCATGATGTGAGCAAGGGAAGTCTGAGAGGAGGATCAAACAAGGGTTAACCAATGGTCATGGCCAAAAGTGATGCAAGTTTTATACACTTGGGAAGATGCAGGGGAGAGAGAGAGGACCCCAAGCACCTGCTTCTAGGTCTTGTATTGAATCACTGAATGGAGGTGGACCTTATTTAGCAGACCCATTTGGATTTGAGAGAACACAATATGGGATATGTGTGCTAGCACAGGACCACAGAATGGCCCTTTATTTTCAGGAACATGGCAGACCATGGGAGTTTGGGGACACCATGTGGGGACCACGGCAGTTGGGAAACTCAGTAATACATAGTGCTCTGATGTCAAGTCAAGGGCTCACCCCACTATACCATGAGTGTCTCTCCCAGTTAGCTTGGTGATTCTAACGTCTCAATCGTTGGTGACATGAAAAACAGAAGAAAAATTCTAGGAGTCAAGCCACATATTTGTGGGTTTTTAATGTTTTGATAGTTTGGCTCTTGCACAGGCTTTTATTAAATCCAGACCCCCACACACAGGCACACAAATATCTCTGCAAAGAACTTTTCTAACTATCAAACGATATCAAAGCATTGGGAGGGCCTGGCACTTCCTGGCTATTGGAAAGGGAGGAGGGGAGGTGATGAAAATTCTGCTGGTTCAATGAAGGTGGTAACTCAATGGATCTCATGCACCAGGCAATGAGATCTCTGTTCCCTGAGTCACTCAGGTCATATGGGATATCTCATGGAGGCTGCTCTACTTTCAGTGGATTCCATGGGAATTCAATAGGTTGACTGACCTCTTTCTGTTTGATGAATTAAAAGTGATGAGTTTTGCACTATGGCATAATCCCTCCATTGGCTAGATTTGGACACAGCTCATATTAAAACTATGATTATTGAGTGTCTGACAGAATAAGTCACAAATGGGTAGATGAATGAATAAATTAAAAGGGGATTTGGGTTTTTCTGTAGTTTCTGCAGGAGGACATTGGTTATGTCTCAGACTTCACAGTTACCCAAGTAGAAAATGATAATTCCAGAGCTTTTAGAAGGTGAGATTGACCCATGCCCTCACCTAGAGACTGGGAACGAGCCTTCTAGAAGCCCAGTAGTGATGAGATCTCTCCTTCCAAACTGATACCAACAGCAGGATTTTTAAGAGGAGGAGTAGAACGTCGAAGAAAACCCAGATGGGAAGTTGGTGGAAACTTTCTGCCTTGCTGGTCAGGGTCACAAGGAAGAGCATGATTTCATGCACATGGAAGTGTGTGGGTTCATCCTTGGGATCCTGCATGAATTCAAGGATTTAGTAACAACAGCTGGAGCTTCTGGCCTCTGTCGTCTCTTACTGACTTTTCTGTGTCTATCTTTAGCAGAATTGCTGAATCTGACACATGGATCTGTTAAGAAGGAACATAAATCATATGTCTTTTAGTAATTCAAAATGAAAATTGTTATTAGGTGGTTAGGAAAAACCACACCAACTAAATTAAAAGTCGGAAGTGACGATAACTAAAACTGCCCCTGCTACTAATTAAAAGCTAATAGAAATCAATTTTGTCTCTTGACAATATTTTAATTTTCCATGTTGGGCCCAGGAATTATTGACTTTAGTTAAATCACAGTTACTTTGTTTTTTTTTATTAGTTGTTCAAAACATTACAAAGTTCTTGACATATCATATTTCATTCATTTGATTCAAGCAGATTATGAACTCCCATTTTTACCCTATATACATAATGCAGATTCACACCGGTTACACATCCACTTTTTTACCTACTGCTATACTAGTGTATGTTGTATTCTGCTGCCTTTCCTAACCTCTACTATCCCCCCTCCCCTCCCCTTCCCTCCCCTCCCCTCCCCTCCCATCCGGTCTTCTCTCCCTACTCCATCTACTGTAATTCATCTCTCTCTCTTGTTTTTTTGTCCCCTTTCCCCTCACTTCCTCTTATATGTAATTTTGTATAACAATGAGAGTCTCCTTCCTTTACCATGCAATTTCCCTTCTCTCTCTCTTTCCCTCCCCCTCTCATCCCTGTTTTGTGGTGATCTTCTCATGCTCTTCCTCTCTATTCTGTTCTTAGTTGCTCTCCTTATATCAATGAAGACATTTGGCATTTATTTTTTAGGGATTGGCTAGCTTCACTTAGCATAATCTGCTCTAGTGCCATCCATTTCCCTGCAAATTCCATGATTTTGTCATTTTTTAGTGCAGAGTAATAGCTAATTAAAAGCTAATAGACATCAATTTTGTCTCTTGACAATATTTCAATTTTCCATGTTGGACCCAGGAATTATTGACTTTAGTTAAATCACCGTCACTTTGAAAAAAGAGTGGGCTATGTCTAGACTGGAACAGCCCATGAGGGACAGAGGGTGTCAAGGAATAGCTTACCCTTCCTCCCTTCTGGAAGTCCACATTATTTGCTTTGGTCCCCAAAGACTAATCTCCTTGAGGAACAAGAGAGCCTGAAAAGGTGGGGAGAGGCTTGGGCAGTATGTGGTCAGGGACATTGGAGCTAGGCATGGRGGATAGGCAAGGTGGGTTAGGGTGGAACAGGGAAGCCCTGTGAGGCAGGTGTGGGGCAAGGAGGTGGTGTGGCAAGTCAAGATGGGGATTGAGGATTGGAGGAGGTGGAGGAAGGGATTGGAGTGGACTCTAAAAGGGGCCTATAAATGCCAGAACTCAGTCTCCTGGTCATGAACTTCCAGGTTGAGAACCCAGGCCATTTGACCAAGTTGATTTGAATGTAAGCATCTTTACTACAATTAAACAAGTATAATGAATTATGAAGACAGGAGTCTACCCATGAACTTTTATCCCTAAACTTAGGCTCCTGAGAATTTGTAAATTTGTGAGGTGTGACATGGTATTTTATTTTCCTCTTCCTTTGAGTTTTACTTCTCACAATGAGAGTGAATACCTCTTCACAGTTCACTGTGCAAAGGCGACTCCTGAAGCTTGTGCGTATCTATTCCTCTTTTGTGTTTTTTTAAAGTGTCTGTACATATTTTTCTAACAGCTTTAAAGTAACTCCCTAGACATTATATTTTGATCCTTTCCTATTATATATATTACATACATAACTTCCATGTTTATAACTTTACTTTGTTTGCAGTATTCTTTGATGAATAAAAACTTAAAATTTTTGTGTGGTCATATTGAAGTAATATCTCCTATGTAGAGTATGTTTTAGTTCTTGTCAAAATTTTCTTGTTGGGTTTGGGATATAGCTCAGGGATGGGTAAAGCTATTTATTTATTTATTTTTTTCAGAAGATTTATAAATGTTGCATCAATTTTAGTTCTTCTAGTGTCCATTGTAGTAAGTTATATTTTTAAATTTTTCCAATTTTCTTTTTGAAAATTATTGACATCTGCTTGTTAATAGCCCTTAAGTCATATTTTCTTTTAAATCTGTTTATTTATGTCCTCTCTTACATTGAAAATGTTATTTGTCTTAGCTTTCCTTTTCCCCATGATCAATTTTGCTATTTTAAAAAAATGCTATTTTTTAGCTTCTCATTTCTTTTTTAAATAATCAATGTAACAAGTCTTTACCATATTAATCTTTTCTGTAGCACTTTTCTTTGGAATAATTCTTTTGTTCTTTCCCTAATTTCATGATTTTTTTGCCTTTATTATTTTACTTTTTAAGCATTTTGAGTTTTAAATTTTTGTTTTAGTACTTCTTTTACTATGTCTCTAAATGCTGACATGTAGTGTATTTATTATCATATAATTCTAGGGATTGTTAATTTCCATTATAACTTATTATTTAAATCCTTAGAAGATTTTTTTTTAATTTTAAGATATGCAAAGTCTTTAAGCTGTTTAATTTTAGCTTCAATTTAATTATTATGGTCAATAAACATGAACATACGTTGTGGATTTTTTGAGGCTTGGTTTATGGGATAGTATCTGATTAAATTTTGTAATGCTCCTTGTATACTTGAGACTCATGTATATTCTATAAATTTCGAATAATAAATTCAATTGATTTGTTTTTACCCACAATGTTCCTGGCCTACCAGGAATATTTTGAGGTTTTTGCCTGTTTGACATACTTATAATCAAAAAAGTATTTTGAAGTTAATAATATATTGGTGATTTTTCAGGCTTTCCTGGAACTCTATCAGTCTTGGCCTTGCACATTTTGAGATCTACTAGGTGTAAATATACTTAAAAATTTTATATCATCTTGACACTTGAATACTTTATCACTATGTAGTGATTCTCTTCATGCCTAATAATTGTTAAAGTCCATCTTTCTTTCTGTACAATCTTTTTTTGTTAGCAACTTCCTGACATATCTTTTTACATCCTTTATGTAGAAAATGTCTAATCCTGAAAGTAAAATTTTCCTAGGCTCTTCTGAGGATGGAATTTTAATACAGAGAATTGGCTACAAATAGGGTAGAGGATATAAAGCAGATAAAGGAAAAAAGTGAGTATCCCAGGTATTAGAACTTGCATGATTCCAATCATGAAGCTGGAGAAGCAGATGCCACTGTGGCTATACTGCCAGAACCTCAGCCTCAGGAGCCTCTGTCAGTAGAAGCAAGGGTCAGCACTCCCTTAAGCCCCTGCTGACATCACTATTGGGTTGTTGTGTGATTTCCTATGTATGTATATTGTTCCCCTTGTTGGTATGCCCTGGGGGAATAATTTTATAGTAAGAAACCATCTTATAATAAGCATCCCAATTGGTTTCCAGTATACCAAAATCCTTGGATGTGCAAATCCTTTATATAAAGGGCATAATATTTCCAAATAACTTATACACATCCTTCTGTCACTTTAAGTAATCTCTAGACTACTTAAATACCTAATACACTGCAAATAATATAAAAATAGTTTCCATGCTGTATATCTTGGGAAACAATGCCAAAAATATCTGTGCATGTTCAGTAAAGACATAATTTTTCTGTAAATATTTTCAATCTTCAATTAGTTTAATCCATGGATGTGGAACCCATAGATTAGGAGGGATGGCTGAAATGTTATTGTACTGCTACGTGTTCCTTAAAGTTATAGTTTATATTTACAATTTTCACTTTATAAAAATAGTGTGATGCTGTACATAGTATCTTGGGTGTATTTTCTCACTTAACTATGTACCTCGTCATCTTATTCATATTGTAGTAAGTCTCTCCAGTTTATTTTCATTTCATTATATATACACACCCGAGTTTACTCACATTCTCTCCTTTTGATAAGCATGTGGATTGTTTTTAGAATATCTGTAAATATCATTGCTATCAATTTTCTTGTGTGAACATTTTGCTTGAAGATATACGAAACATGAAACTGTAGGTGATAAAGTGCATAAATAATGAGTGCTATATTTGGATTTTAAATTTTCCCCAAAAGCCCACATGATGGACTTGATCCTCATGCCATGGCAGTACTGAGAGATGGTGGAGTTTGTAGGATGTGGGGCCTATTGGAGGCCTTAGGTCATTGGGGGCATGCTCTCAGTGGGAATGTGCAATACCCATCACTTATTCTCTGTCTTTACTTCCCTGTCACCACGAGGTAAACAACTTTCTCCACCATATACTCTTTCCACTCTACCAGATGTTCTGATTCAACATAGATCCAAAGGCAACAGGGACATCCAACCATACACTGAAACCATATATCAAAACAAACTTTCTGCTTTTTAAGTAAATTATCTCAGATATCTTGTTACAGTGATTGGAAGCAGAGTAACACAATGAGGTCCTATCTTCCCAGACGGTTTCAGCAGTTTATATGGCCATCAATGAAGGAAAGATTTTGTGGAACCACACACTCTATTCAGGTTTCTTTTTTTAGTGATTTCCTATGGACAGAATAAGGGCAAAATAGTATTTCATTGTACACATGATTGATTTTTCCTTGATTATTAATGATGTTAGACATCTACAAACATTGAAATATATTAAATATATGGAAAATAATACAGGTAGCTCATTGATCTAAAGGATATACTGAATCAAAAAATTAGAGAATACAAGATAATTTTTATGATTGACCATGTGCCAGGCTAGTAAATAAATTCTCAAAAAAATTGTAAAAATTTCTTATCACTCAGAGAATATGTTCCAATTGTGACAAGATTAGTTTAAATGTCAATGACAAATAAGTTGACCAAAATGTTACAAGTATTTAAGAAATAAGAATGCCTTAAGAATGAAGGTGAAAGAGAAATTATACAGGATATCAGAAAGTGTTTAGAAATATTAGTGCATAAAGCATATAATACAGGAGAAATTTGTATCCTTAAATATTGTGTTAGGAGAACTTAAAAGGTAAGTAAGCTAAAAATTTC